CCGCTGCCGCTGCCGCTGCCGCTGCCGCTGCCGCTGCCGCTGCCGCTGCCGCTGCCGCTGCCGCTGCCGCTGCCGCTGCCGCCGCCGCTGCCGCTGCCGCTGCGGCGGCGGCGGCGGCGGCGGCCGCCGCGCAGAAGCCCACCCCGTTTGCGCGCTTCGTCCGAGAAGCTCGCGAGCGGGGAACAGCTGCCCCACGCCGATGCTTCGAGAGGGGGGGTGGGGGGGGTCGCAATGGGGCGCGCGCCGTGCCGGGGGCGCCAGGTTGCTGCGTGGCCGCGCCACCCGTCTCTCTCTCTCACGCCCTCATTCTTCCTGTTTGCGCCTTCGTCTTAGCCGTCGCTCCAGAGCAGCGGGCAGGCGCGCGTCGGGGGGATAAACGCAATCTCGTGGCTATCCAAGCAACTAATGACACTACGCCCGCGCATGATCGTCGAAAAAACTGAGTATCCATGCGGGGGCGGACGGGTAATGCTCCTGCGGGGCACCTGATATCCGTCTCGTTCGTCGTTCCACCGATGGTGAGTGCGTCGATGATGAGGGGCCTGCGGGCGCGTGTGCTTCGGGGTGCATACCTAATCTCGGCAATGAGGTTGCACGAAAGCTTAACAACTCATACCGCCATTTATGTGAAGGATGCGATAGCACTCATGCTGCGATACCAACTACACACGAAAATTAATTGCCAAGGGAAGAACAGACGTGGATGCACGAAAACTGACAAGTCATACCATGACTCATGCGAAGTACACGATAGCATGCACAAAGTGACACCAACTACACATGCAAACTATGTACAGACAAAAGAGCACACATGATGGCGCAGGAGAACTGACAATTCATACCATGACTCATGCGAAGCACACGATAGCACGCACGCTGCGATAGATTCAGCTATCCTTACTGGATCTTCGCTCCGCCCTGTCTGCATGTCCCATCGGCCCCCTTGGCTTTTCCGGGCGCTGCGGTGAATTCCCCGCCCTCCCTGGCCCTTTGAACGGAATGGCCCCCCTCCAGCGCGCGCCGACGCCGGCCGACGTCGCCGGCGACGGCGGCGGCGGAGGGGCGCCACAATGATGGCATCGAGACTTGCTTTGGACAGAACATTCGAAAACTGCAACGCTTGAAGCGCAGCCGGGCCAAGGGGGAGAGGGTGGCGCGTCGGCGAAAACAGAGGCCAACAAGATTTTGCCACTGGCCCTGAGACACCGAGCCCCTGACGGGAAATCCATGCACTTGCAGCTCCCCTCGCTGAGGAGGACAAGCAAAGGCGGGAGAAGCGCGAGGGGCGCGCAAGCAATTTCAGAGGGCAAACAAAGCGCCGCCGGAGAGGCACGGAAAGCCCAGGCCCCACTAGCTCTTGGAGCCGCGCTCATTCTCGAGCCCCTGGGCCGATCGCAAGGCCCACCAAAAAACAACAACAAAAAATGCGATTATTGTTTATAGGTTCAACAAAATGGTCGGGCAGGACCGAAAAAGCACATCTCGCCAGCCCGGGGCTCGAGGATGAACGAGCGATGGCAAATGCCACCTAGCGGTCGCAAGAGAGGATCGGACAGGGGGAGAAGCAGGGACTGTGGCCAGCCGTCAGGACAAACCCTCTGGCGGCGGAGAAATCGCTAGAGGTCAGAATCGCCAGGCACGGCCGCTGTCGCCAGCGCCGCTGGGGTCCTTCTCAGAAGCCTTGGACTTCTTCTGCGGCTCCATCGACTGGATGTCGACCGCGTGCCCGTTCACGAACGCCTTTTCCAGCTTGGTCACGCGGTTCACAACGCCGGACCAGTCGCCGAAGATAAGGAAATACCCGGGGGCCTTCTGCTGGCGGCGCCGGCCAGGCAGCAGCCACACGCCAAGGTCCTTCGCAAGCTTGATCAAGATGGCGTCGACCTCCTCGTCGGCGGCGCTCCCGCGCACCTTGAACAAGATGCCGCTCTTCTCGACGCGCGGGCCATCCGTGCTCACGTAGGCGAGCCAACGTCGATGGGGTTCTTGGGGTTCAAACTGCTCGGCCCGAGTCGCAGCCACCTCAGCCTCGGCGGTTTCGCCCGCGCGAACAGCAACAACCAGCTCAGGCCGCACGGCGCGCCAGAACAAATTTCGGGGTCGGCTTCATGATGCCCCGCGGACCGCGCTGGCACCAACCGCGATCGAGAGCTTTCTCAGCCACCTTCTCGTCCTCAAAGAACACGAAGAAGCACCTGTCAATCTCGCGCGCGGCGTCGACCTTGCCGAACGCGCCCTCCGCCAACTTTTTCAGGTCGGCGCGCGTCGCTTTTTGTGGCACTCGGGCACCAGACACCCACCACGTGCACGTGGCTGGCGGCTCCCTGTTGATCACGTCGCGCTTCTCACGAAGCGACATGCTGTCCCACGGACCACTGGGCAACGCCGGTCCCGGCGCGGCCGGAGAGCTCCTCGCGGCTGTCGGCGACGCCGCAGGCGGCATCGTCGCCGCCTCCGGCGCGACCAGCGCGGCCGGCGACGCGGAGTGCGGCCCTCCGCGGACCGCGGCGCGCACGGCGGCTCGCCTGTTCTTTGCGCCCTCGCCCCCCACTCAAGAGACGTGAGCTGCAACAGATTGCGCCATGAATCTGGCCTGTCGCTTAGCCCGCTTGAGCCGAGCTCCGGACATGGAGGGCGGAGTGCTCATGGGCGCCGATGCATCCCCCTGAGGGCGCAGTGCGGATGAGTCTCGCAGGGGCACTCGAATGGGGCGCCCCCCGAGGCCCCGGGACGTTCTCGCCGGCGGGTCCACAATCGCACTCGACCTCCACCCTCCACACCTTCTGGCTGGTAGGTGTATTAACTCGTTTTCGTTTTCTAGCCTGACATGATCAGTCATGGCCCCTGTTCCCTGGCAGGTTGTGATTATGATTCTCCTCTCCTACGCCGGAGCGCCACTCTTGCATCGTCATCCACCATTGACGACATCATCCTCTCAGACAACTTTTCCGCATTCCCACGGCGTTGATATGCCTCGGAACCTTCCCCCCGATGGCCCGCGCTGCGTTCGTCGGCCAATGCGCGTTCAATGACCTTCCCCGCAACGCGGGGGGGGGGGGGGCAGGTTTTCCCGATCTTTCATCCTCCAGCACGTGAACCATTGGTCATCCCACCTCGCCCGGGGCCTCAGACCATCGGTCAGCTTCGCGGGGCTCTTCTCATTTGCCTCGCATTGGAGAAAGAAAGAAAATAAAAAGTGAGAGAGAGAGAGAGAGGGGAGAGAGAGAGAGAGGGAGAGAGAGAGAGAGAGAGACCGGACAAGTAGGCGGACACCAGGGTCCGTCCGCGAGGCGCACTGCGGTGCGACAACCCGCAAAACACTATTGGCGGCGGTGCAGCCTTAGGATACGAGGGCGGGCAGAGACCCCCTCCCCCGGCGCATTGCGTCTGAAGCTACGGACGGCGGACAGACTGTGAAGATCTCACGTGTCAGACCGCGTGACGAAGAAGGCCCCAACATGAAAGGCGACGTGCGGACACGTGGCTAGGCGGCTTGGCAGACCGCCAGTTGGGCGCTTGGCCGCAGCGCGGCGCGCAGGGACGGGGCACCCCCCGCCCCCGCGCCCTGACACCGTGGACGCGGGGCCACGCGTGCACACGGGCAGGCAGAATGGCGGAGATTAGCGCGGGGCTCCAGGCGGAGCGTCGCGGAGCGATGACAGGATAGCATGGAGGGTGAGTGGCGGCGCAGCACCATCGGGCGGGGGTGTAAGCAGCTCGGCGAAGGCACGACCGGCGCGGTGGAGGCGCTGGAGCAAAGGGCCTTGACGGGCTTGGGCAGCGGCAAGGTCGGCGGCGAGAGCTGCGCACCACTGCTGGAGAGCGGCCGTAGACTGGGACAGCTCGGCTTCGCGGTCGGTGCGGGGCGGCTGCTCTGTGCCCGCGGCGGCGGGCCTCGCGGCGGGGACGAGGTCATCGGTGCGCCTGGCCATGTGGTGGACCAGCGCGGTGCGGCGGTCCGTGCGCTGGCGGCCGTCGCCGTGGCGAGGCGACTGGAGGGCGTCGCGCGGTCCCAGGGCTGAAGCCGCTGGGGCCACGCCCCATGAGGGCGGAGGAGCCGCAGCCTCGCAGCCTGCAACAGAAGGAGCGTGGACGGGGCGCGACGGCCTGACTGGCTCAGTGCCCTGCGGGGGGGCTGAAGCCGCCCCCGCGGGCTGGCGCTGGTGGGGGGACGGGGTTGGTGGCACGGAGGGACCAATCATGATGCCGTGCGAGGGCTCAGAGGTCGGCCGCGTGACCGGGTGCGACTCGATGAAGCGGCATCGTCGGCAGCGTGGGGTGTCGGCGGGACGTCGTCTATGCTGCCACCCAATCCGAGGGGATCATAAAAGTCCTCGTCGGCGTCTTGGAGGTGAGCGACGTCATCAAGTGGGTGCGGTGCCGCTCTCGGTGGCGGAGTCGAGGTGGGCGTCGTGCGGATGCCCGACGGGGCAAGGTTGGCGCTGGCTGGCCCGTCGTCCAGGAAGTCTAGTCCCCCGCCGAAGCCGAACGGGTCGTCCTCCTGTTCGTCGTACATCGCCCGTTGTGCCTCGGCCCAGAGCTCGTCAGGGTTCTGCGGGATGTCTGGTCCAGCCGCAGGTGGTGCCTGGTCCGACAGCAGGGGGCTCGGTTCCATTTTGCTGAGTTCCGCTGCTGTAAACCCAGCCCTGCGGTGTGGGAGCGGCAGAGTACGGTGTCTGCGCTCGTAGATAGCGACAGCGACCCCCTGAAGCACGGTCGCTTGGCGATGTCGTGTTTTGGCAGCTTCAACAATGTCGTCGGGGAGGTTGTGCGTGCGTGCCGCCGCTGTGGCAAGGGCGTCGGCCTGACGGTTGAACTCCTCCGCGATGGGCCCGATGAGCCCAAGGTCGATGCCCAGGTCTCCCAGGTGGCTGGCGACATTTTCGACGCGAAACATGTCGGGCTTGGCCATGACACATCGGTGAATCATTGCCCAGAGCTCCGCGTGCGTGCCCTGCGGCGCTGGATGTCCGTCGATGATGCTTTGAAACCCATCGACCACCGCCTGGTTGTCCACGAAGACGTGCACGGGCCGTTCGGCACACGCCGTCAGGTGGACGATGGCAAGGGTCTCCGCAACCTGGGCGTTCTGCGTTAGGCCGTGAACGCGTGCACTGTAGTTCAAGCGGTGGTCGATGCCGTAGTAGACGCCGTAGCCCGCTCGTGCTAGGAGTGGGATGGCTTGGTTGGTGCACGCACCGTCCGTGGCAGCATAGACCCATGTCCATCCAGTGTCGTTGTCAGGGTAGGTGGTGTAGGTGTCCTGGGCTGAAGCCGCAGGATCACCCTCAGGGGGGGGCCGCGGGATGGGCTGTGGCAGCGGGTCCCTCGCGAGGTCGGCCTGCAGGTCGAGGAGGGCTGGGTCTTCGTCGAAGAGCCCGCAGTTTCTTGTGTGCGGCGGAAGACGGGCCCACTGGTCGTCACTGATGAGGGTGGTGAGAGGAACTCTCTCTCGGGCCCAGCACTTACAGTCGCGGACAGTGTGCTCCTGGGTTTCCTCTTCCTCGTCGCAGTAGCGGCACATGGGGCTGAAGTCTGCCGACGTGTTGGATCGGGATCGTCGCTGTTGGGTGTGGTCCCCGCCCGACAGGTAGTTTAGGAGGAGCGCCAGCTGCCAGGCAGTGCATTGGGCTGCTCCTTTGGTTCGGGCGAGCCACGTGCTGGCGAAGAGGTCAAGGCCCTGTCTGACCGAGGCGAGGTAGCCAAGGTCGTGTCGCCGTGGCTTGATCTTGCGCAGAAATGCCCTGCGTTGTGAGGCCCGCAGCATGTGCAGGAAGGCGTTTTGGGGTAGATTCAGCCAGCTGATCGGGCAGCCCCAGTCACCGTACATGATGCCGAATGTGGGCCAGGTCCATCGGAGCTGCTGGAGCGACTGGACGAGTCGCCCGACGGGTCCTCCGCCAAACAGGGTCTGGACGTGGTGTTGGAGGTCTCTGGCGAGCCCGCAGAGTGTGACGTCGCGGTTAACCTGACGCCGCAGGCACAGGAATGCTTCACGCTGCGTGATGGCGTCGATATCAAGGGCGTGTCCCGGCACGCACACGGCCATGAGAGTCCAGAACTCGACCCACTTGTTCCCCTTGGGGCGGATAGCCGCCTTGAGGGCGTGGTTGTAGGCAGTCTTAGCTGGGCCTGATGGTGCTTGTATGTCGGTGCCCGTGGTGCAGACGCTGGCAGCCAGGGATCGGGCGTGCCGCGCCTTGATAAGCATCGGCGACGGCGCGGCAGGCGGATAGTCGCCCTCCGCACACGGGCGTCTGCGGGGGCCGTGAGGTTAAGCGCGGCTGGAGCCGGCGCTGCCTCGGCGTTGATGTAACTCCCGACGAGCTTGAAGGAATCGACCACTCGGAGGGGGCGATCCGCCAGTGTGAGCTGGGTGACGGCGGCGTGCAGCTCAACGGTGAGCGCCCACCCTGCCACTTTACCAGGGTGAATGCGTTGACCGGAGAATCGGTCAAACTTGGCGGTTTCGTCGAGAGATTTCTGCAGCTCAGGAGCGGTGTGGGTAGTGGAGTTGCTGTCGTCAACGAAGGTAGTGCTGAGTGATCGAGGAACGTGTCGGTGCTGCCTCTTTGTCCACACGCACATGAGCAGCTTGATGTCATCCAGGGACCACGAGCTGCCCTGGAGGTGACCGTTTGTCCTGGCCAGGGCCCTGGAGTACGCTCCGTTCATGCGGATGTAGCGTTTGTGGTGTCTGTAGAAGTTTCGGCGGACAGTAACGATGTCTTGTGGGCACCCCGCGTGCAGCGCAAGGTTTAGACAGATGTCCGTGATGAGGTAGTCGAAGCACTTCTGTCGGTCAAGGGCTGCTCCAGCTTAGGGGAGGAGTAAAGTCCTGGCGTGTTCGATGCGCAGGGCGAGAGAAGTGCTGACATCCCCAATGGTGGCTTTGGGAACGGCGCCAAAGCTCGTGGCATGGGTCCATCCTTGCCGCCAGGTCGTGAGGCTACGGTAGGCCGGCGCCTCCCACGCATACATCCACACGGAAAGAACCGAGAGAAGCCGTTGGTCCGTCGGGAGTTCCCCTCGGCCTTTTCGGAGGCACGGGTTTGGCACGTGCAGGAGGGGCTCGGGGATGGTTGCCAGTGCGTTGCATAGCACGTAAGACGCTGGCGAAGAGGCGAAGGATGTCGTCGGGTAACTCCTTTGCCTCCTTGGTCGTCCAGCCGTCGAGTCCCCCCGCGCGGCGCGGTGAACGGGTGCGAATGAAGTGGATGAGTTGGTCGTCGGTAAGGTGGAAGGGGGCTGCTGGTGATGGCGTAGGCAGCTCTTGGCGGTATTCGTCGTAGAAGTCCGCCCACGTCGGCATAGCTTCGGCGTCATGGCCCGCGCGAGCGCGGTACGTGCCCAGGATGGGCTCCCAGGTGTCGACCATGAGCTTGAGCATGTCTTTGGTGTTGGCAACGATAGCGTTGGCGGGGAGGGCGTCGGGAACCTGGGCTGGTAGTGGGCCACGAATGGGGCCGTCGTCGTTGTCCGTGTCGGGCGAG